AACCCCCAACTGCTCCCCGGGCGCCGCAGCATAAATGGCTGCCCACTGCTCCGGGTGTGTGTTCACGGTGTGTGTGTGTGTGTTCACTGCTGTGTGTGTGCACTTTGGATGGGTTAAATGCAGAGCACTAATTCCGAGTATGGGTCACCATACTTGGCCACATGTCACATGTCATGTCATGTCACGTCACTTATATTATTATATTATTTATTTCTGGGTGCCTCAAAGGCCCTGGGTGCATCTTAATTAGCTTATTAGGCATGGCACTGATCAGGAAGTCGGTCATTTTAAAGGCTATGTCAATTGCGAAATCTTTCCAGTGCACTGGAACTTTCGCTTCCTGAAAAATCCCACAATGCACAAAATGTGAAGCACAAAACGGACAAGCCAACTCCATAAATGCAAACAATTTAGTATAATAGTATATTTCAGCATAAACACATCTCTAGGCAGGTCGTGAGCACGTCTAGTTAACATAATTAATATGTGGCTAAAATGTTGTAAGGATATGTAACAGAACAATGTGTTTAAAGAAGATTTAAAATAATATCAAAAAAATACTCTGCTACACCATTTGACCTCTCAGGACTACTGCATTTGTTTTTTTGGAACTGATGGTGGATAGATAAAATATATTTTGCAAAGTTAGCATATCTTGCTTTTTGACATGCCTACTATTGCTTACTACTATTACTAATTATATAGAGCATTATGTTTGTTATTTTTAATGATTTGCATGCAGCTACTATATAATGACTTCAAACTAATTGACAGACTACATGCAATATTTGGATTGCACAATTTCTAGATTAATCTCTATGGAGACAGTTTGTTTGTTTAGCAGTATTGATTTAGTCATGTAGCAACCCTATGCCAAGAGGTTGCATGCAGACACTCGTGGGATTTGTTTAACCATTGAAGTGCTCTGGAGGAGTTTTGTTTTGTCAGCATACGGTAAACCACAGCATTTGAATGCCTTTTCATCAACATCAGTGTGTTTTTCTGTCTCCTAAGTAACTCTGACGTCATTTCTAGCCTCTGTTCTCACTTCATTTATTTTTGAGGTTATTGTAAGGCAACTGGAAACTATTCTGCGACAAAGACATGCAGTGACATTTGATGAATTCTTTGTGTGTTCTTCAGTTGCAAGACCTAAGATCTAAGGACTTTCTGCACTTATTTTCAGAGATGCATGCATTTAAACATAATAAGTGTGTTAAATGCAGCAGAAAGTACAACAGCGGTATTGGCAACTGAATGCATTTCAAAACCAATATTTAAGGGAGTTTATTTTGCATTGAGCAACTATTTAGCTACTAATGTTGTGCTGTGAAACACAAAATTATCTTTAATTTAGTTTTTTATCTTTTAATTCTATAAAACTTTCTGTAACTTTCTGAAACTTTTATAGACTGCTCTATAAGTCTGGCACTACCAAAACTGGCATTCAAGTCTGTTTATGGATATAATCATCTGAACATCTTTCAAAGCATTTTTCCTTTCAAGTTTTGGCAAATTATTAGCATGGTTTTCCAGACATCTAGTATAGTAATATCCATTCTGAAAAGGCAATTGAGTGGAAAGTCTGGACAGCTGTAGTGCCCAGCTCCGTCAGTGCGTCAGTGTAAGTATTTCCCAGACATTTGCACCATGGTTTCAATTGACAACGTACTGTTTGTTCTTGTGTACAGGATGGGTGCGCTCCAATGAGAGCTCTGGAAAAGTTGAATGTTTCTGCCTTCCCTCAGTCTTTCTTTCTCTTATTTAGCTAGCAGTCAGTCTTTGACTTTATAAAAAAGTTATTGAAGGATTTCAATTGTTAGACTCAGAACACAGTGCTGGAGCACAGTGCCACCCGGTCACATTCTCATATTCTTTCCCTTTGAGTGGGATCTGAACCAGTCTAGGAGCGTCTTTGCGTCATTAGATATGTTCCCTACACTAATAGCTCAGTGATTCATGCCTTTCTTGTGGCAACCAGTTCTTGGGTGAGGCTAAATGGATCTGGTCTATCCATCCGTCCATCCATCCATCCATCCAGAAAAATGTGTATTTGACTTAATATGATTTAATCATGTACATTGGTGCAACATGAATCAATTAATATAAACACATTCTTTACAGAATTTCAGCCCCATGAAATCAAGTCTGACCTAATTAACTCTCAAAGTGATTTTCCATGGTTCCACCATGACAGAATTAATTTATTGAGATTCATATATTTTGTCACATGATTGAATTATGGGGTTACACTAGGTAGCTAACAAGCTATTAGTTAACAATAGCACGTATTAGTATGCTAAATGCTAAGCAATAAATGCTCCTTGAGCTAAGCAGTAATAACATGCGTACCAGTCCACGGTCTATGCGGATTCTCCAGTCTTCTTCACAATGGTAACCCAGTGTAATTTAAACGGTTCCAATAACTCCAACATATTTGAACTTGAAACATTAGACTATTAAGTTTCCCCCTTGCTCAAAAACACATAAAATAACACTTAATTTCATTTTTACCCTCCTCATTTAGTCCCAAGTGAAGCATGCTTGCAACTATAGGTTTAGCAAAAATCATTTTCAAACACATGACTGGTTCACATTCACCCTAAATAATTGAATCTAGTAAATTGAATATTTTAGAGAATTGCATTAATCGAAAGCAAAGAAATCAAGTTTAGAAGAGAGAGACAATTTTGTTGCTTAGATCTCAAATAATTTGATTGAGTAAATTATTACAATAATTCAGTCTATCCGACTGTCTGTCTGTCTGTTCATCCATCTTTTCGTCTATTTGTTTATCTATCCGTTTTAAAATATATATTGGCTAAGCCATTTAAATGGCCAATATTTGATCATTTTGAGATTATAGATTAGTGACCGATAAACAAAAGATTTTCTTTGACTACATTTACTGTTTTCGTAGTTTTGAATAAAGTGTATCTATATATTATTTAGAAAAAATGTTAATTTTGTCAAACATCATCTTTAAAAAATCATGAGCAAAACTATGCTAGGTAAAAGAAAACGCAACCCAAACTAAACTAAATAAGTATTATATTGAAGCCTGTGTAAAAATAAAACCGAATTGAGTGAAAACATTTAAAAGAAGAATACAAATTGATATGAAGTCACAATACGTGATACAGAAAATATTGCCATTTATTGGGATGTATTGGCCATCATGTTCTCCATTGTCATCAGCCTTTTAAAAACTCATAATGGTCGATTACGTGATATTCTTACATTCCTGTACTAGTACACCTGTTCAAGTGTGTTGAAGGCTTGAAGGCAGCATGTTGTAAGGCCACACTTCTCTGCATGTGTAGTTGTATAAATAATCTTCCAAATTCTCCAATCTCATTAGCCTCCTGAAATGGCTGACTGTATCAATAGCATCGAGACACATTGCCCTGCAAGACTAACACAGATATGCTTTATATAATTAGCTCACCTACAGCTAAGTGCAACGTGTAAAGCCTGTTTCTATTCAAAGCTACTTAGTGGGCTATTTAGAATCACTCCTGGTGTATTTATGTCCCTCACATGTCACCTGTAGCTGGACTTTGGACTTGTTATAGTATCAGCGTGCTAAGTTGAGCGGTTTAATCAATCCACTTTGGTCTGTCTCAGTTATCTACTGTACTAGAAGCCTGCAATGCAAGCCATTCTTAGCTGTGCTAATGGTGGCCTGGCTGGGAATGGCACATGGCATGGGGTTTTTGAGGGAAAGTAAGGATGGTGGACATGTAAAGATTATATAACTGAGATGGAGGGCAACGTCCAAGTGACCTCCATGTGGAACAGGTGCACCTATTTTCTGTTCGATTGTCCACAATAATTGAAAATTTCCTGTGAGAATGAGGTTTTGAGCTGAAGCTACTGCTTGATTTTCCTGTGGCTTTATTCCCTTGCAACAGCCTGTCCTGACTGGCTTCAGCTGGTACACTGAATGAATCATTTGTCGATAATGTCGTCATGTTCGTTGTGTGGATACGCTGTGTTTCCGAGGCAAACCTGATGTCAAACAATTTGAGATGAATGCAGATATATTCTGTTTGATTCTCTGTTGGTTTGGGCCACTTTATTCACTTTACTTCATTTAATCACAAAAGTAAAGCAATAAAGGTTAGACATGCCTGATAAAATGAGATCTGCAGAGATTACTGTTCATGAAGGATTGTCTGTAGTTTATGACTTGTTTTATGATCTCTTCATGCGTGTTCACTCTTTTTACAGCTGCAACTCTCATAGTCTCTCGCCACCCAGCAGCTCGAACGCCTTCAGCCTTCTGAGTGCCAGTTCAGAGCAGGACAACCCATCTACCAGCGGCTGCAGGTTAAACTCGAACACACATGACCCTTCTACCAGTGTCTGCAGTAGAATTTTAAATTACATTTAATTTAATTTAATTTTTAAAAAATTATTAATTTTAATTTAATTTTAATTTATTTTTATTTTATTTTATTTTGTATAATATTTTATTTTTATATTACATTATAATATAAATGTATTATAATATTCTATTATTTTTATATTATTTAGTTTAATTTAATTTTTTATATATTTATATATTTGAATATATTTTATGAAGCTTTATATTATGTCATCCTGGACCCATCAAAAATCATGTTTTAGCCACACATTATATTTGGTACAAATACTTATTTTCAAAATATTTACAAATTAACTTACACAATTTTAGTCAAACTTGATGTGTACTGTGCATTGCACATCAGTTATATTTAACATTAGAAGAGAACGATGTGTTTAGAATGGGTTTTATTGCTGACATATATGTGCATGTGTTTTTTTGGGCACCTGCAGTAGCGAAGAATCCGCCAAGGCAAAGACGCAGAAAGAGTTGATTAGAACTTTGAAAGAGCTGAAGCTTCATTTGCCGCCGGAAAAGCGAAACAAGCGCAGCAAGTCGACAACGCTCAACACTCTGAAATATGCCCTGCGCTGCGTCAGGCAAGTGGAAGGTGAGCAGTACATTATGAAGTTCAGTATATCGTTACATAAGTCATGCCTAACACTTGCCTGATCACAGGGCCATAGTCCTGCTGTCTGGTAAATTGTCAATATATTTTATGAGTTTCATTTTGCTTGCATGCAATGCAAATAAAGCCTAGGGGCATAAAATATCAACTTTAAGACCAAACAAATCCATTGGCAACGTGAAACAAATGCAAGCAATATTTCAGAAAAATAGAACTACTTGGTAAACATCACATCACATGATTAATAAGCTGATCAATTTTATGTCTGCACATTTTTAGATTGTCCATTTTTAGATTTTACAATGCACATCTCAATTAATGGTAATCAATTATTGTGAAGGACTTAATATATATATTTTGCTTTATTTATAGTGGAATATGAGTATATATCTAATATAGGATTGGTTTTCAAAGAGGCTATACAACACAAGTTACCAGTCGAAACTGAGCTCATACAGTGCATGTTTTTCTTTTTTTATTATTATTAGGCATATATCACATACTTAATCTGTACTACATACACCTGATTTCTTAACTGAATTGGCAAAATGCATTTGTTTTGACGTTTTTATTTCAGCAAATGAAGAATACTACGAGTTGCTTATGAATAATGATAGTCAGCCATCAGGGCTTGACGTTTCATCATATACCATAGAGGAGATAGACCGCATCTCCTCTGAATACACCCTCAAGAACACAGTAAGTATATGTATTTTTTATTTAGCCATTTTATTTATTTACTTATTTTTTATATTTTTTATTTAATTCATTTGTTTATTTATTTTATGAATGTACATTTATTCCAGTTTATTTGCTGAGACCTGTTACAATATTTATAGTAGGTTATTTTTCAGAAACACTTGCATAATTGCGTAATCATTGATCTTGGGATCTTTGTTTTACAGGATATCTTTGCAGTGGCGGTGTCACTTATCACTGGGAAGATCGTCTATATTTCAGACCAGGCAGCTTCCATTTTGAATTGCAAACGGGACGTGTTCAAGAATGCCAAGTTTGTGGAGTTTCTTACACCGCAGGATGTTAGCGTGTTTTATAGCTTCACCACACCATACAGACTGCCGTCCTGGAGCATGTGCACTGGTGCAGGTACGACACACACACACACACACGATCAGTCATAATATCTATAGGCCTAGATAAGTTAAAACAGAGACATACAAGAATCATTCAAAATCGTTCACATATTTTGCTATGGACTTTTAGTCAAAAGGTGAAATAAGTATTCAAATATAATTGCAATAGACAGAACACAAGCACAAATGTCCACAGATATGAAAGTCTTTTTTCTTTCTTATTCATTAACAAAACCAGGGCTAATTATTGAGGCGTCTTTGTTGTTCTTGAATCCACGAATGAGCAACCAGTATTAGCTTGAGTTGACAGCGGATTTAGTCACCTCTGAAAGACAAGATGCTATTGAATTAAACCTGAACTCATCACTCTTGTTTTTCCTCCTTGAAGAGTCGTCACCATCAGACTGCGTGCAAGAGAAATCCTTCTTCTGTCGCATTAGGTGAGTGTTTGTGTTGTGTGTGTGTGTGTGTGTGTGTGTGTGTGTGGGGTGTGTGTGTGTGGTGTGTGTGTGTGTGTGTGTGTGGAGGGTTGGAAGTAACCTGTACACCATCTGTTCACCATGATTTAATTCATAGTTTTCCCCTTTTTTTTTTAATCAGCCTGGGGAAATTAATTCTGGTGAATTTTTCTCCCTGTAAATAGGAAAATTTGATTACTAATACATTTGACATTACTATGGAAAACATGCACTCAGTAAACACCTGTTGAGCAACGTATTACAGTCAATTGCTAATAAAAACTCGGACTGAACACTTGGGTGGTAGAACAGGATTTCTGTAACTTTCTAATTCCAATTCGGAGGGTATCAGGTATCAATTTAGACATTTTAAAACCCATCCCAAATGAAATAATTAATACAAATGAAAGAAATCTCTCTGAAGTCTCAATATGAAGGCTTTGCCTGTGCTCTTTGCATTTAAAATTAGAGGTAACCACTGCATTTTAATCACAGTCCACACAAAGTTGCAGCATACATGCAACATGAACAGTTTTTTTTTTTTCAGTTGGACTGTATAATTTTGAAATTTGAAGCAAAAGAACAGAAGCTTTAGCTTTGTGAAACTATGCTACATAAAACATCTGAATTAAACAAACAGCAGACTTTGTTTTGTGTTTTTGTTTTGTTTTGTTTTGTTGTTTTGTTTTGTTTTTTTTTGTGTTTTGTTTTGTTGTTTTTTGTTTTTTGTTTTGTTTTCTGAGAGGGCATTTGTGATCAAACTTGCAATTTTTGTGTGCAGGCCAGATCAGGCTAAATAATCTGCACATTATAAAATGAATGTCAAAGTTAACGGAATTTATGCTTCTTAAAAGACCATTTCATCGAAAGGTTTATATTTAAATGCTTGAAATTAGTTTTGTGGGCATGACATGTGCCTTCGTAAGCATTTGTTTAGAAACCATACTGTTTTAGAATGGATAGGGATGGAACATCTCACTAGGTTGTAGTAGGCTGCTTACATTGGACAGAGCCAATGTTTATTACCAGATTTTTGTTGAATGTGTGTGTAAATCTCTCCTGTCCTGTTCCCCAGCGGTGGTAAAGAGTGTGAGGGAGATCTTCAGTACTATCCCTTCAGAATGACTCCTTATTTGATGAAGGTTCAGGATACGGCGCACTCTGAAGATCAGTTCTGTTGCCTCCTGCTGGCAGAGAGAGTTCACTCAGGCTACGAAGGTCAGTTCTTTTACAAAATCTTCTACATTTTGAATGGATTTTTTTTACCAGTAATAGTGGTGTCGTTTTTTAAAATATTATAATTAGTTGCATTGAGGAAAACAGGAAAAACTAATTATTTTAGCAAATCAATTCATTTTTGACAATGATTAAAAAAATAACTTATTTACTGATTATGTTGTGTTGTCACTTAGTAATGTTTCAAGAAGTGCATCTTTCTTGGTGCCAAATAAATATGTTTTCCAATCAGTTATTTAAATAAGTTAATATTTTATACACTACCATTTAAACTTAGCTCACCAAGGCTGCATTTATTTGATCAAAAATACAGTAAAAGCAGTAATATTGTGATTAAAATTTAAAATAACAGTTTTCTGTTTGAATATATATTAAAATGTATTCCTATGATGCAAAGCTGATCATTACTCCAGTCCTCAGTGTCACATGATCCTTCAGAAATCATTCTAATATGAAAATTTGCTGATCAAGAAACATTTCTTGTTATTATCAGTGTTGACAACAGTTGTACTACTTGCTATTTTTGTGGAAGCTGTGATGCAGAACCGCATTTATTTGAAATAGAAATCTTTTGTAACATACATGGCTTTTCTGTTACTTTTTAAATCAATTTAATGAATTAAGAGTATTAGTTTCTTTCAAAACAAGCTAACAAAAAAAGTTTTGAATGGTTGTGTACAATCAAATAAGTACAGCTTTATCCAAATAGCCGCTTATGTTTTGTTTGTAACTTCTCATATAGATAAATACTTTTCAAAAATTTTTAACTTTTTGTATTTTAACTACTTAAAATGATTTCAGTTGCAGTTTTAAAATGATTTAAGTTACAGTTTTAAAGTAGCGTCCTAAGCACAGAAATGTACTTTTACGTGTCAAATTTTCTGTCAAAACCGTTATGATGTTTGTTTCTCAGCTCCAAGGATCCCCACAGACAAACGAATATTCACAACAACACACACTCCCAGCTGTGTGTTTCAGGATGTGGACGAGAGGTGAGAGGGCTAATACTTCACTGTTGACCAACATGATGATGATTAGCTGGTAACTTAAGCACTGGGTGTTTCACGCAACAGCTGTACCTCCACACCTGCTTTTTTCCATCTCTAATAATCCTGCATATTAAACTGACAGTTTTTGTCAGACTAGTTATGTGATGTTTTTCCTGTAGGGCTGTTCCATTACTAGGATACCTGCCACAGGATTTGATTGGCACACCTGTCCTGCTGCATCTGCATCCCAGCGATCGACCAGTCATGCTCGGCATCCACAGGAAGAGTGAGTCAAGCTGTTCATTCTGTTCTGTCTCTTTAGTTCATTAAAGGTGGTGTTTAACTTTTTTTGTGGGAAGGTACTTTTTCCTACCTTAATCAGAGAAAACTATATGTCAGTTGTTTTGGGACAAATTGGGGTGGATCATTTTTTTAAAATAATACTTTTATTTTTTTTATATTTTTTAAATATTCTATCTAAATCTCTTTTTTTTTTGTCCCATCAGTCCTCCAGTATGCTGGCCAGCCGTTTGATCACTCAATACGCTTCTGCGCTCGTAATGGAGAGTACATCACCATAGACACCAGCTGGTCCAGCTTTGTCAGTCCCTGGAGCCGCAAAGTTTCCTTCATCATCGGCAGACACAAAGTTCGCATGTGAGTGCATAAGATGAATAAGAGAATATATCTGCTTGATATTTGTTAAGAAACGTAATTGCTGAAGTTTTTTTTTTTTTTACAAGAAATTAATTTTTATTCAGCAAGAATGCTTTAAATTGATTAAAAGTGACAGTGAAAATATTTAAGTGCTGTTCTGTTGAACTTTCCATTCATCAAAGAATCCTAAAAAAATGTATCACAGCTTCCACAAAAATATTAAGCAGCACAACTGTTTCCAACTTTTGATGATAATAATAAGAAATGTTTCTTGTGCAGCAAATAAGCATATTAATATGGTTTCTGAAGGATCATGTGACACTGAAGGCTGGAGTAATGATGCTGAAAATTCAGCTTTTTGCATCACAGGAATAAATTACAATCAAATAGAACATTATTTCAAATTGTAATAATATTTCAAAATATTACTGTATCAAATACATGCAGCCTTGGTGCACATGAGAGGCTTCTTTCAGGAAACAATCTTTTGAATGGTAGTGTAACCATAATTTTGTCCATTCTACCAGGGGTCCAGTGAATGAAGATGTGTTTGCAGCTCCGTCCACAGCTGAGGGAAAATCCATAGACTCAGACATCCAAGAGATCACGGAGCAAATTCACAAACTCCTGCTGCAGGTGCGGAAACTCATTCACAGGGGAAAGAACCAGATTAATGGAACTGAATTTACATGAAAAAGGCATTATGATGTCAGAGATTCATGTAATAGACTGTGTAACAGACAGACTGTAGTTTAGTGTATGATGCCCAGTTTTTTTCTCAGTAACCATTTACAAAATTGGCAAGTTTGTGATGCCTGGTGTTTTAAAAATCTCTTGGTGTTGTGTATTTCATCCTTTAGGGTGAGAGAAATGGTAAAAACGTGTTTTTGTGTGTTGTAGCCTGTGCACAACAACGGTTCAAGCGGCTATGGGAGTCTGGGCAGTAATGATCACCTGCAGAGTGTGGCGTCGTCTAGTGAAAGTAACGGCAACGGAACGCGCCTGCGACAAGAGGAAGAGGATGGCAGCATAGCCAAACCAGTGAGTCACGTGATGAATTCTAGTTCAGTGGGTTTTTTGTTTGTTTGTTTTTTTTGCAAGTCAAATGCTTCACGGTCTCTTTTTTTATTCATGCATTGACAACTTAAAGAGGCTGTGGTGAGTTTATTTGTTCTTGTATGTGTGTGTTTTCTCAGAGGAGCTTTCAGGAGATATGCAAAGGAGTTCACATGCAGAAAAACCTGGAGCAGCAGTCCAAGAAGAGCCCTACTAGTATGTACCAATATCCTCCACCATCTGTGCACTCTCATCTGTCATCAGAGTCTGTGCTTCTGTGTGTAACTCACATCTGTGTCTGAAGACTAGGGCTCCATGATATGGAGAGTGATTATATTAACAAATATTGCAATTGTGATTTGAACTGTGATATTGAAACATTTGTGGTTATTGCTTATAAAGGAGCAAAAATGCATCAAATCTCATTGAATAACCCTTTACACTGTTTCCTCTGCTGTAAAAGAATCAAATTTTCAGTTGACACAAAAATGAGTGAAACACATCCAACATCCATTCGCAAATGCAGCATGTTAATCATTTTAATCTAATATAATATAATATAGATTTTCTATATTGTTTATTTAAATTGTTTAAATACACTACTGTTCAAAAGTTTGGGCTTATTAAGATTTTCAAATTTTATATTTGTGTGTATTTATTTTAAGAAATGAATACTTTTATACTGCAATGATTCATTAAATTGATACAAAAGTGACAGTAAAGACGTTTATAATGTTACAAAAGATTTATATTTCAAATAAATGCTTTTCTTTTGAACTTTCTATTCATCAAAGAATCCTAAAAAGTAAAAAAAAAAGTATCACAAAAGTATTACGCAACATAATAAATCAATAAGAAGAAGAAATGTTGGTCATCAAATCGGCATATTAGATAGATCTCTGATTTTTTTTCCCCCCATGTTACAATCCCAGTATATTTTTGTATTTATTATTTTGTATATATAATATATTTTGAATATAAATTTGTTTAATTCAATTCTAGCCGGTAATAATCACACTAGGCCACTAGACAATTTAGATTTTAATTTGACTAATCTTGCAGCCCTTCTGAAGGCCTTTTTTTTTCCTCTGCAGAGTCTCTACAGAAAAGTCCAGTGGTTCGAGCCAAAGCTCCCGTGAACTGGAGAGGGTCTCCTGAGGAGCAGCATGCTGCAGTGCAAGAGGAGCTGGCCTTCAAAGACCAGACCGTCTACTCCTATCAGCAGATTAGTTGCCTGGACAGCGTAATCAGGTACAAAGACTTAAAGTCACATCACGGTGAAAACTGATGGTGCATGGACAGAGACTGTCTCGACTCACTTAGCCAAATGTAATGCACTTATTGATCCTGTGACGCAAAGAGAGTATGAGAAACTGAATTAAGCGTGCTATGAAGGAGAATGAACTTGTTTTCGTGAGTCTGCAGAGAACATTAGGTTCCGCAGGATGTGAAGTCTCATTAGCACTCTTTCTCAGCAGGATAATCGTTCTACATGTTTAGCCTAAAGCCTAAATCAATGGAAGATGACACAAAATTGCATCATGCTTAGTTGTAATGCATTTGACTGTTTTTTTTTTTAATCCCTCATAAAGTTTACAATTATTTGCTAATATTTTGTTTGCAAATATTTACTGCAAACATACTTAGATTTTCGTTGGCAATATTTTCAATGACAGATTTCAAAGAGATTAGAGCAAAAGTAATAGGATTTTGACGTGTGTTGTACACTTAAACCACAATAATCAAATGATTATAGGGACATAATAGTAGAAAACAATGTAATAAATACAAAACAAAGCAGATTTTGTTTTCTGAGAGGGCATTTGTGATCAAACTTGCAATTTTTGTGTGCAGGCCAGATCAGGCTAAATAATCTGCACATTATAAAATGAATGTCAAAGTTAACGGAATTTATGCTTCTTAAAAGACCATTTCATCTAAAGGTTTATATTTAAATGCTTGAAATTAGTTTTGTGGGCATGACATGTGCCTTCGTAAGCATTTGTTTAGAAACCATACTGTTTTAGAATGGATAGGGATGGAACATCTCACTAGGTTGTAGTAGGCTGCTTACATTGGACAGAGCCAATGTTTATTACCAGATTTTTGTTGAATGTGTGTGTAAATCTCTCCTGTCCTGTTCCCCAGCGGTGGTAAAGAGTGTGAGGGAGATCTTCAGTACTATCCCTTCAGAATGACTCCTTATTTGATGAAGGTTCAGGATACGGCGCACTCTGAAGATCAGTTCTGTTGCCTCCTGCTGGCAGAGAGAGTTCACTCAGGCTACGAAGGTCAGTTCTTTTACAAAATCTTCTACATTTTGAATGGATTTTTTTTACCAGTAATAGTGGTGTCGTTTTTTAAAATATTATAATTAGTTGCATTGAGGAAAACAGGAAAAACTAATTATTTTAGCAAATCAATTCATTTTTGACAATGATTAAAAAAATAACTTATTTACTGATTATGTTGTGTTGTCACTTAGTAATGTTTCAAGAAGTGCATCTTTCTTGGTGCCAAATAAATATGTTTTCCAATCAGTTATTTAAATAAGTTAATATTTTATACACTACCATTTAAACTTAGCTCACCAAGGCTGCATTTATTTGATCAAAAATACAGTAAAAGCAGTAATATTGTGATTAAAATTTAAAATAACAGTTTTCTGTTTGAATATATATTAAAATGTATTCCTATGATGCAAAGCTGATCATTACTCCAGTCCTCAGTGTCACATGATCCTTCAGAAATCATTCTAATATGAAAATTTGCTGATCAAGAAACATTTCTTGTTATTATCAGTGTTGACAACAGTTGTACTACTTGCTATTTTTGTGGAAGCTGTGATGCAGAACCGCATTTATTTGAAATAGAAATCTTTTGTAACATACATGGCTTTTCTGTTACTTTTTAAATCAATTTAATGAATTAAGAGTATTAGTTTCTTTCAAAACAAGCTAACAAAAAAAGTTTTGAATGGTTGTGTACAATCAAATAAGTACAGCTTTATCCAAATAGCCGCTTATGTTTTGTTTGTAACTTCTCATATAGATAAATACTTTTCAAAAATTTTTAACTTTTTGTATTTTAACTACTTAAAATGATTTCAGTTGCAGTTTTAAAATGATTTAAGTTACAGTTTTAAAGTAGCGTCCTAAGCACAGAAATGTACTTTTACGTGTCAAATTTTCTGTCAAAACCGTTATTATGTTTGTTTCTCAGCTCCAAGGATCCCCACAGACAAACGAATATTCACAACAACACACACTCCCAGCTGTGTGTTTCAGGATGTGGACGAGAGGTGAGAGGGCTAATACTTCACTGTTGACCAACATGATGATGATTAGCTGGTAACTTAAGCACTGGGTGTTTCACGCAACAGCTGTACCTCCACACCTGCTTTTTTCCATCTCTAATAATCCTGCATATTAAACTGACAGTTTTTGTCAGACTAGTTATGTGATGTTTTTCCTGTAGGGCTGTTCCATTACTAGGATACCTGCCACAGGATTTGATTGGCACACCTGTCCTGCTGCATCTGCATCCCAGCGATCGACCAGTCATGCTCGGCATCCACAGGAAGAGTGAGTCAAGCTGTTCATTCTGTTCTGTCTCTTTAGTTCATTAAAGGTGGTGTTTAACTTTTTTTGTGGGAAGGTACTTTTTCCTACCTTAATCAGAGAAAACTATATGTCAGTTGTTTTGGGACAAATTGGGGTGGATCATTTTTTTAAAATAATACTTTTATTTTTTTTATATTTTTTAAATATTCTATCTAAATCTCTTTTTTTTTTGTCCCATCAGTCCTCCAGTATGCTGGCCAGCCGTTTGATCACTCAATACGCTTCTGCGCTCGTAATGGAGAGTACATCACCATAGACACCAGCTGGTCCAGCTTTGTCAGTCCCTGGAGCCGCAAAGTTTCCTTCATCATCGGCAGACACAAAGTTCGCATGTGAGTGCATAAGATGAATAAGAGAATATATCTGCTTGATATTTGTTAAGAAACGTAATTGCTGAAGTTTTTTTTTTTTTTACAAGAAATTAATTTTTATTCAGCAAGAATGCTTTAAATTGATTAAAAGTGACAGTGAAAATATTTAAGTGCTGTTCTGTTGAACTTTCCATTCATCAAAGAATCCTAAAAAAATGTATCACAGCTTCCACAAAAATATTAAGCAGCACAACTGTTTCCAACTTTTGATGATAATAATAAGAAATGTTTCTTGTGCAGCAAATAAGCATATTAATATGGTTTCTGAAGGATCATGTGACACTGAAGGCTGGAGTAATGATGCTGAAAATTCAGCTTTGCATCACAGGAATAAATTACAATCAAATAGAACATTATTTCAAATTGTAATAATATTTCAAAATATTACTGTATCAAATACATGCAGCCTTGGTGCACATGAGAGGCTTCTTTCAGGAAACAATCTTTTGAATGGTAGTGTAACCATAATTTTGTCCATTCTACCAGGGGTCCAGTGAATGAAGATGTGTTTGCAGCTCCGTCCACAGCTGAGGGAAAATCCATAGACTCAGACATCCAAGAGATCACGGAGCAAATTCACAAACTCCTGCTGCAGGTGCGGAAACTCATTCACAGGGGAAAGAACCAGATTAATGGAACTGAATTTACATGAAAAAGGCATTATGATGTCAGAGATTCATGTAATAGACTGTGTAACAGACAGACTGTAGTTTAGTGTATGATGCCCAGTTTTTTTCTCAGTAACCATTTACAAAATTGGCAAGTTTGTGATGCCTGGTGTTTTAAAAATCTCTTGGTGTTGTGTATTTCATCCTTTAGGGTGAGAGAAATGGTAAAAACGTGTTTTTGTGTGTTGTAGCCTGTGCACAACAACGGTTCAAGCGGCTATGGGAGTCTGGGCAGTAATGATCACCTGCAGAGTGTGGCGTCGTCTAGTGAAAGTAACGGCAACGGAACGCGCCTGCGACAAGAGGAAGAGGATGGCAGCATAGCCAAACCAGTGAGTCACGTGATGAATTCTAGTTCAGTGGGTTTTTTGTTTGTTTGTTTTTTTTGCAAGTCAAATGCTTCACGGTCTCTTTTTTTATTCATGCATTGACAACTTAAAGAGGCTGTGGTGAGTTTATTTGTTCTTGTATGTGTGTGTTTTCTCAGAGGAGCTTTCAGGAGATATGCAAAGGAGTTCACATGCAGAAAAACCTGGAGCAGCAGTCCAAGAAGAGCCCTACTAGTATGTACCAATATCCTCCACCATCTGTGCACTCTCATCTGTCATCAGAGTCTGTGCTTCTGTGTGTAACTCACATCTGTGTCTGAAGACTAGGGCTCCATGATATGGAGAGTGATTATATTAACAAATATTGCAATTGTGATTTGAACTGTGATATTGAAACATTTGTGGTTATTGCTTATAAAGGAGCAAAAATGAATCAAATCTCATTGAATAACCCTTTACACTGTTTCCTCTGCTGTAAAAGAATCAAATTTTCAGTTGACCCAAAAATGAGTGAAACACATCCAACATCCATTCGCAAATGCAGCATGTTAATCATTTTAATCTAATATAATATAATATAGATTTTCTATATTGTTTATTTAAATTGTTTAAATACACTACTGTTCAAAAGTTTGGGCTTATTAAGATTTTCAAATTTTATATTTGTGTGTATTTATTTTAAGAAATGAATACTTTTATACTGCAATGATTCATTAAATTGATACAAAAGTGACAGTAAAGACGTTTATAATGTTACAAAAGATTTATATTTCAAATAAATGCTTTTCTTTTGAACTTTCTATTCATCAAAGAATCCTAAAAAGTAAAAAAAAAAGTATCACAAAAGTATTACGCAACATAATAAATCAATAAGAAGAAGAAATGTTGGTCATCAAATCGGCATATTAGATAGATCTCTGATTTTTTTTCCCCCCATGTTACAATCCCAGTATATTTTTGTATTTATTATTTTGTATATATAATATATTTTGAATATAAATTTGTTTAATTCAATTCTAGCCGGTAATAATCACACTAGGCCACTAGACAATTTAGATTTTAATTTGACTAATCTTGCAGCCCTTCTGAAGGCCTTTTTTTTTCCTCTGCAGAGTCTCTACAGAAAAGTCCAGTGGTTCGAGCCAAAGCTCCCGTGAACTGGAGAGGGTCTCCTGAGGAGCAGCATGCTGCAGTGCAAGAGGAGCTGGCCTTCAAAGACCAGACCGTCTACTCCTATCAGCAGATTAGTTGCCTGGACAGCGTAATCAGGTACAAAGACTTAAAGTCACATCACGGTGAAAACTGATGGTGCATGGACAGAGACTGTCTCGACTCACTTAGCCAAATGTAATGCACTTATTGATCCTGTGACGCAAAGAGAGTATGAGAAACTGAATTAAGCGTGCTATGAAGGAGAATGAACTTGTTTTCGTGAGTCTGCAGAGAACATTAGGTTCCGCAGGATGTGAAGTCTCATTAGCACTCTTTCTCAGCAGGATAATCGTTCTACATGTTTAGCCTAAAGCCTAAATCAATGGAAGATGACACAAAATTGCATCATGCTTAGTTGTAATGCATTTGACTGTTTTTTTTTTTAATCCCTCATAAAGTTTACAATTATTTGCTAATATTTTGTTTGCAAATATTTACTGCAAACATACTTAGATTTTCGTTGGCAATATTTTCAATGACAGATTTCAAAGAGATTAGAGCAAAAGTAATAGGATTTTGACGTGTGTTGTACACTTAAACCACAATAATCAAATGATTATAGGGACATAATAGTAGAAAACAATGTAATAAATACAAAACAAAGCAGATTAGATGGGCTTTTGTGTTACATTCAGCCTGGTTAGTCATTTGTAAACCTCATTTCCACTGACGTCTTTCTCTCTCCGTCAGGTATTTGGAGAGCTGTAACGTGCCCATTACAATGAAGAGAAAGTGCCAATCCTCCTCAAACACAACATCCTCAAACTCAGACGAAGACAAGCAGAGAGGTGTTGAGAGCTCCATGCAAGTGTCTGAAGGTACTGGGAAAAAATCCAGTTTCCAAGATTATTTTTCATTGAGGGGGTTTTCCAAATAAAAAAAATCCCATTCAATTTCTCCAGAGAAAAACTTTAACAAAACAATACATATAAAACTTTTTTAAAACAGACCTACCATGAAGAATATTTCACCCAGAAATGAATAAATACATTTACATTTTTATTTTAAATATTAATTGATTTTATTTTTATTTTATTTTTATTTAATCCATTTTAATTACCTATATTATATTATATTAGATATTATATTATAGATTAGATTAGATTAG